CAGTGAATCCAGGAAGAAAGGAGAAGCCAGGTAAATTCAGTCCTCCAGGTTCATATGTGGTCCAGTTCACCAAGAGAGACTTTGCCTGCCATGCAGCAGTGAAGAATTAGGCACTTGCCTGAATGTTCTCAGAAATCCAGCTGCCATGGAACTACATGGGAGTTGGTTTAGGTTCCTGGTCAGACAGTTCTTCACTTTTCCACATCTTGCAAGGACTTTAATAGCAGGGTCAGAATCAGCCCCAGGAACACAATAGGTTCTGGGTAAATGGGGGCCTATGACACAGAATTAATATGCATCTGTGACGGGAGCTCAGAGTACAACTTGTGCTCATAGGCTGGTCCACTGGGCCTAGAGGTGGGGGTGGCAGGTGGTGAGTGGTTAGAGGAGTCTAAGAAAGAACCCAAACTACTTTCTTACGTCATTCTCGGCTCCCTTCTATCTAGTAATCCTCGTTTGTAGGGAAGAGTGTGTCATTTTTTGTTTCCTTTTGTTTTTTCATGTAGCTACAGGTACAGCTCTAGGAAAGGAAAGCAGACTTATTTTCCAAAGTCAGTGTTATTCTCAGAATCTCTACTGCTTGAGAAAGGATCCTTGTGCCTTGGGTGCCTAAAGGTTAAGAATATGTGCATTCAGACATTTGGATAAGAATTCTAACCATGCCAGCTTGCCAGCTGAATGGTTTTTCCAAGTTCTGCAATTGTCTTCGTCTTTGGTTTCCTAATCAACAGATAGAAAAATAAGGGCTCAAAAAAAATCTCAAAAACAGTTGTCATAGATTCTTGCTCTTAAAAGATGAAGACCCCCTTCTTTGCCCAAGCATCAGCGCCTTCTGGACTTCTCCCCACCCTGCAGCCATGCCGGCTGTGCCTGAACCCCCTCGGTGCTCACTCAGTGAGGAATGCATCTGTTTGCTCCATTTGTTGGCTGGTAGGTTTTTAACATTCTCCGTTGGATTCTTGTTTCTACTAAGCCAAAATTTTCCTGGCTGTTATGTCAACATTTTTTGCCCTAGTTCCAACATGGGAAACATAGAGAATAAATGTCTCACTTTTTCCTCATCTCCAAGTATCCGAAGACAGCTATCAGACTCCGTCAGTTTTCCTTTCTCAATGGTTTCCCTCAAACACTCCAGAAAAGATATAACTTCAAGTACCCTCAGTCTCCTGAGTTGTTCCTTTTACACGGCTTTCACTTTCCAGTGGTCTTCTCAAAATCTGTTTTGCTGACCTCAACAAACTACCTCTAATACAGATTGACCATGACAAAGCAGAGCTGAGGCTGCCAGCTTTGTTTTCATTACCATTGAATAATTTTAAATGTTCCTGACAAATGGCTCTAAACCATCAAAATAATGGTTTTGGCACCCAACTGCTTGATAATGATCGACTGGCAAGACTTTCAACTTATGCTTTATTTTATCTTCTGTGACTACATTTTATCCCACACCCCCTCCTATGTCCTCCCGGGGGGGGGAAGAAAGGTAAAAAATATTGTCAGGCATAATCTTACATGAATGGGAGGAAGTTCTAGAATTGTTGCCCTTCTCTCCACCCCCTACATATTTGCTGCTGTGTTGAAAAAACAGGACTGTTGCAACCAAAACAAGTTTCCCTTCCACCTCTTTGACCAAGTTCACTTGCTACTTCTCTGAATGATAAATGGTACTGTTTTGTGAAGTGGCTACAACTTCAGTGTATTCTGGAAGTCCTCTGACTTTTGTTCTTTGTCCTTTAGGGGAATAGCCTTCTCTCTCCTTTTTTTTTTTTTTTTTAAGATTTATTTATTTATTTTAGAAAGAGAGAGAATGAGAGTATGTGACTGGGGGGAGGGGCAGAGGGAGAGAATCTCAAGCAGACTCCTGGCTCCCAGCCTGAAGAAGGCTCCATCTTCCCACCCTTGAGATCATGGCCTGGGCAGAAACTGAGTCTGCTGCTTAACCAACTGAGCCAACCAGGCACCTCAGGTATCACTCTCCTTAACAAAGGAAGTATCTTAATATAAATTAAAATAAGAATCCAATGGCTGCCCATTCAGTTTCCACCCTAAACCAGGTATTCCCCTTAGAAATGCCATTGACATTATGTGATTGAGAAGCAAAATGTCAGGGTGCCTGAGTGGCTTGGTGGTTGAGCATTTGCCTTCTGCTCAGGTTGTGATCCCAGGGTGCTGGGATCGAGTCCTGCATCAGGGTCCCTGCATGGAGCCTGCTTCTCCTTTTGCTGTGTCTCTGCCTTTCTGTGTCTCTCTTGAATAAATAAATAAAATCCTAAAAAAAAAAAAAAGGGAGAGAGAAGCAAAACATCTTCATTGCCAAATAATGATGAATTAGAAAACAGGTATGTTATGGAGGCTGCATAGACTTAACACTGTGTGCCCTTGACTTTTCTGAATTTAAACCATGGGTGCTATGGTATGTATTTATGAGAAGTCATGTAATCTGTGGGGTGCCCTATTGTGACTCCTGCTTCCAAAATCAGTTCTTCAGGAGACATAACCCTGCCAGAAGACATTAAAAAGGATTAAAGTTTTAGTGTCAACCGTTTATACGAATGAAACTATCCAAAACATAAATTGGGAAAATTTGGGTCTCCAGCAGCTGTCTAGTCATATGCCCTACAGAAATAAAGTTACACAAGTCCTGTGTCATCGATGTTTTCAAGTTCAGTACCCACATTCTTTCTCCTAAAAAATTACTTGAAAAATCCCTTTTCAAGGAAATACTCATTTGGGGATTTCTCTTTGCTATGACCAAGGCTTTGAAACATTATATCATTGATGGTGGTGATTCTCCCAGCTTCTGGATAAAACTTGGAAAGAAGTGAGATAAAGACCTAGACTGTGTTGGGGTGCCTGGCTGGCTCAGTTGGTAGAGCATGTGAGTTTTGATCTCGACTCTTGATCATGAAGTCATGAATCCAAGCCCCATGTTGAGCATAGAGCTTACAATTAAAAAGAAAAAGAAAACAACAAGAACAAAAAAAGATGTAGGCTGTATCCTTATTCAAAAGTAAATAAGTAGCATATTTAAGTTTTAAGTAGCATATGTAGAAGAGAGAAGTAGGGGCACCTGGGTGGCTCAGTCTGTTAATTATTTGCCCTCAGCTTAGGTCAAAATCTCAGAGCCCTGAAATTGAGTCCTGAGTCTGGCTCCCTGCTCAGCAGGGAGTCTGCTTCTCCGTCTGCCCCTCCCCCTGCTCTCTGTCCCTCTCTCTCAGATAAATAAATAAACTCTTACCAAAAAAAAGAGAGAAGAGGAATATAATGCTCTATGGTGTTCCATCTTTTCACTATTCTTGGCCAGATATAGAAATAATAATGGCATCTGAGGGCTAGACACAGGGAGCACCCAATGCAAACACCTTCAAAAGGCAGGCATCTAACAATGTGTGAACTCCATATAGACTGAATATATTTTCTAAAGATTTTATTTATTTGAGAGAGAGAGAGCACACACAAGCAGTGGGGAGAGGCAGAGGCAGAGGAGAAGCAGACTCCCTGCTGAGCAGGGAGCCAGATGTGGGGAATGTGGGGCTCAGGCTCCCAGGACCCTGAGATCATGCCATAGCCAAAGGCAGACACTTAACTGACTCAGCCCCTCACGCGCCCAAAACAAGTTTTTATTTATTATACTTCTAAAAGTTTTATTTATTTAAGTAATCTCTATACCCATCATGGGGCTTGAACTCATGATCCTGAGACCAAGGACCACTTACTCCTCTGACCGAGCCAGCCAGGTGCCCCCAAAACAAGTTTTTGTTTTACTTAATTTATTTTTTTATTTTTTTTTATTTTTTTGAGAAAGAGAGGAAGAGGGAGAGGGAGATCTTAAGCAGGCCGCCTGAGATCATGACCTGAGCTGAAATCAAGAGTCGGATGCTGGGATCCCTGGGTGGCGCAGCGGTTTGGCGCTTGCCTTTGGCCCAGGGCGCGATCCTGGAGACCCGGGATCGAATCCCACGTCAGGCTCCCGGTGCATGGAGCCTGCTTCTCCCTCTGCCTATGTCTCTGCCTCTCTCTCCCTCTCTCACTGTGTGACTATCATAAATAAATAAAAATTAAAAAAAAAAAAAAAAAAGAGTCGGATGCTTAACCAACTGAGCCATGCAGGCACCACCCCCCAAACAAGTTTTTAAATCTCTGCTTAAAATTTTCTCACACTTAGGATGCCTGGGTGGCCAGCGGTTTAGCGCCTGTGTTTGGCTCAGGTTGTGATCCCGGGGTCCGGGGATCGAGTCCCATATTGGGCTCCCTGTGGGGAGCCTGCTTCTCCCTTTGCCTATGTCTCTGCTTCTATCTGTGTCTCTGCCTCTCTCTCTCTCTCTCTCTGTCTGTCTCTCTATGTCTCTCATGAATAAATAAATAAAATCTTAAAAAGTCTCACACTTCTCATGAAGTAACACACAAACAAGTCCTCCTCTATTACTGCACATCCCCATTGTGTACTGCATTTAGTCCTGAACTGGTAATAATCAATAGCTACAATTATTGAGCATGCTTTATGTAACCAGGTGCTAAGCCAACTGCTTTTAGGGATTCCCTTACGTGATCGTTGCAGCAACCCCATGAATTAGTGCTGCTAATATACTCATTTTTTCAAAAAAAAGATTATTTATTTATTTATTTATGAGAGACACAGAGAGAGAGGCAGAAACATAGGCAGAGGGAGAAGCAGGCTCCCTGAGGGGAGCCCGACATGGGACTTGATCACGGGACCCCAGGATCACGCCCTGAGCTACCCAGGTGTCCCTTAATATACCCATTTAACAAGTGAGGAAGCTGAGGTTTGAGGTGGTAGGTGATTTATCTAAGATTCCACAGCCAGGAAGGGGTGGGCCTGGGATCTGAAGATAGGCGTTGTGGTTCCAGAGCCCATAGACCACTTTATTGCTGGATATTTCAGTTATGCCTGTGTGTCCATTAGCTTAAAGTCTTGCAAAGAAATTAAGCCTGAAGGTTTTTCCCTGACCCAAGGTTAATCATTCACTGTTTTCTCCCAGCAATCCACAGAGCCATACAGATTGTACAAATCCAGACATTAACTTCTGAGTGGAACATTGAAGCAACTGAAACGTAAGTAGGTGTTGACTGCAAATAGGTGCTGTGTCCTCTACAACTGTCTGAGTGAAGCCTGGGGGTTAGACTTCCAGTCAGCCCGCAGGTGCTTTTTATAAAAAAAAAACCTTGATCCCAAGAAAGTGAAAATAGGTATCATTTCATTTCTACTTGATTCAATTGATTTTTTTTTCCACATAAAGGAAGAACTTTCTTTCAACCCCACTGCCTTGAAAAGTGAATAAAACATTTGTATGTCTAAAATTAGTTAGCTTTTCCATCTGAGGTTGATTTTAAAGACAACTCAATAAAAAAGTTATCGTGAAGGTTGTACACAGTTTAGCTAAACTTCCTGAAAGCTTCTATGAATGTCTATCAAAGATGTCTCCCTCATCTTTGTTCTCACTCTCATGCCGAAGGCCCTGCCATCTTTGACTTCAATTATGGCAATATTCACCCACACTGCTGCCAGATGATCTTTACAAAAACAAAGGTTCAGTGGTGTCACTCCCTGCTACAAACATTTGTATTTGCTCCCAAATGGCAATGGAATAAAAATCCAAATACTTAAACATGACATTCAGGCACTTCGTTACCAGAACACTTCCCTTTTTTTGTCGTCTCTTTGAGCCAAACCAAATACTTTCATCTTCCTTGTATGCCAAGGACTGTTGTTATTTATCTTAATGTCTGACATTAAGTAATAAATGATATAGGAACTACAGATAGGCAAGATGCTTTTCTATTAATGGATATGTGAGGCCAGAGCTTGGGATGGGAGAAGAATGTGATGATCACTGTTCTATCACCTTCCAAACAGCAGGAGCCGGTTGCTAGAGCACTGAAACAACCCAACCTTTACTTCCAGTGTAAGCCTCCTTGCTTCCCTTGACCGAATCAACAGAGTATCTTTATAAAACATTGCTGGACTTCAACCTCTTCCAAGTAGACATTATTCATCCAAAGGGCAGCAAAATATTCTGCTGGTGTCAAACATCTTGAGTACAATCTGGGGTGTGGTATAGAGTTTATATTTGATAGCTAGTGGAAAATACTGAGCAATGCCTCCAAATAACAACCCCCCAACCCCACACCCACATTCTTTTCAAAATATCTCTCTTTCCTAAGAAGACAGCCCTTGAAAAATAGAGTTTGCTGGGTCGCAGATCTGTGGTTTTCACCAGAGTTTCTCTGTCCTGTTCATCGATTCTTTCTACCCCTTCCTGTCATTCATTCAGGAGCAAAATACATGTTCCCTCGAGGTTTCCACAGGAGGCACCTTCAGCTCTTGAGTTCTTTTTCTACCAGGGTTTATGGGGAGGTCTACATAGGTGGTCCTCATAGATCATGGATCAGCAACATCAAATTCTTCTCTCTGTTCCAAGTTGATTAGAGATTAGATTTTCTCAAGACTCTGTTAGGTGGGGATCCCTGGTTGGCGCAGCGGTTTGGCGCCTGCCTTTGGCCCAGGGCGCGATCCTGGAGACCTGGGATCGAATCCCATGTCGGGCTCCCGGTGCATGGAGCCTGCTTCTCCCTCTGCCTATGTCTCTTTCTCTCTCTGTGACTATCATAAATTTAAAAAAAAAAATTTTAAAAAAAAAGACTCTGTTAGGTGTACATTTTTGCAGTGGTCCATGAAAATCCATCTAACTATCACTATGGAGCTAAATTAAACCCTTTTGTATTCGCCAAATGTTCTGCCAGAAGGAATCTTTCGTTTTGTCAAGGTAGATAAACAAAATGTTTCCCTCTATAGCCAAACCACATTTAAAAGTTTAAAAGTTTAAAGCCACATTTAAAAGTTTAATGATACACATTTCTACCAGATGTCCTTCCCCCCAAATCATCTGGGTTTTACAGACTATTTATCACTACACTTTCTGCCAGGACTCTTGCAGTGAAATCTGTTTATTCAGAAAAGAGTTTAGGCTTTGCTATCTATTAAATCTGAAGAGATCAGAAACCAATTTATTTAATTTTTAAAAATAGTTCTGTGCTCCAGGACTATACATTTGCCACTTGAGTATCTGGGTAAATGTAACCTAGGAATGTGATAACTTGGGTCCTCTCAGAATCCGAACCCCTGCGGTAAACAAGCCTCTTCACATTCTTTGGAAACCAAGCCATGGGCTTCGGGATGGTCCTCTGACCTTTGCTCCACAGTGAGCATTTTTCACGCATTTCTGACAGACTTGGGTGAACCTGCATATGTTCACACACACAGTGCAACCTGGCGCTTACTTAAGTGGCTACTCAAAAGCTGTTATGGTCACGTATATCTTTGCTAGTCTTTATCTTAGTCAGAATAATTTATTTGCCTTTCGGCAGCACATATGGTCTAAGGCAAATACAGTAGCTCTTTCCTCTCTTCAGTCAAGTCTAAAAGTCTCATCCTGGCATTGTTATTGTGCTCTTCGAAGCATTTCCAAATTGAGAAAGCTGTATGAGGTCTCAGTGGAAAGTCACTGCCAGCCAACGTGGTTTGACTCTGTTTAATAAATGACAGTGTTTCCTTTAAGCCTGGGTTTCAAGACTTAATTTGCTTGCTATTCATCTCCACCTCTGGTGACTGCCCCGCAAGGCTCATTTTCCATTGCCCAGATGTTTCTCCAGTTTCACCACTGCGTCTGATTCCCATCCTTCCCTCACTTCTCAACAGCCATATGTGTATGTGTATATATGCACGTGGATGTGCGTGTGTATCCACATGATTAAACTGAGGACACATTTTCTCATGTTTTCGTTCTGTATCTCCTTTTACCCTTTCTTTCTCATCCCACCACAGATAAACGATAAGTTTAACATGACACAATTGATGATACAGCAGAATATCAATTGTTAAAAGTTTAAAAAGTCATCTCTAAGGGGTGCCTGCATGGCTCAGTCGGTTGAGCATCCAACTCGTGATTTTGGCTTGGGTCACAGTCTTATTGGTCGTGAGATCGAGCCCCATGTCAGGCTCCACACTCAGCATAGGAGTCTGCTTGTCCCTCTCCCTTTCCCTTGTCCCAACTCATCACTAGTCTGCTGTATTAATTGGCAGAAAGTTAAAGTAAGGGTCTCAGGGGAGGCTTTGAGTAGCATTAAGTAATGGTTGCTTCCCTGGGACCAAGGGGCAAATCATTTGCAGAGGCCAATTCAGAGTTACTATTTCTATTTTAACGTACAGTTTCCTCCTTCACTGTTAAAAGCTCAAAGTTTTCAAGAGTTGGCCTGCTCCAGAGGTCACAGATTTGCAGATGGGCTGAATGTGGTCCGCAGCTGTTTTGTTCTGAAATAGTAATTTAGAAGCTGGAAGCTTTTCACATTAGTAATATAGATATCCAGCCATTCTTCAAAAACTCTGGCAACACTAAGTCCTTATTTCCCACATGAAAACAATTGGCTAGGACCGAGTAGCTGCTGTCCATTGAAAGCGAGTTTGCTGCTCTTTGGTTCCCTCAAATCCCATTGTCTCCCCAACCTGAACAACTGCACCTATTATGGTCACCCGCCCCTGGGACATTTAAATTTGAAATAGAGGGCAGAGGATGTTTAACCTCTAATATAGGTCTACTATTGTCATAATTCAAGATCTGCCCCTCATTTCTTTATAAAGTACGAGTCTTATCAGCTTATCATAGTCAATTGCAAAACTCCCTCATATTCGATCTCCATGGTTGAAAAGGGTGTTCCTTAAATGACTCTTGCTGAGGTAGAGAGATCCCCATTACAAGGTCAGCTTCTTTCTTTTTTTCTGTTGTCCTTAAGGGAAGGTCCTCACTTTCTCTCTCTCCAGAAGTCATCTCCTTTGGTAGGACTAACTCCTTCCTCAAGGTTTCTTACGGCATCTCTTCACAGCACATGAGCACTGCCAGATCTCTACCACAGTGCTTAGGGGGAAGGCCCAGAGAAACTAAGGTAGTTAGGATACAGGTCCTGCTGCTTTAATAAGAGCTTAAAAAGAATAGCAGGGCAAATATGTTCTCACTTAGTAATCCAGAAGGAGGAAGTCCAGAGAGGTAGGGCAGCTGTGCTCCACGAGGTCATCTGAAGACCCAAGCTTCTTCTATCTTATGAAAACATGTGTTTTTCTCATCTACATGGTACAAGACAGCACATCACTGCATCTATATTCTAGCCAATGACATGAGGGATAGGAGAGGGCCTTAGTCTCTGATACAGGAGGCCCCAAAGCCTGAGGGTCATTTTCTACTCTTCTCTTTCGCATCTGATCCGCTGTCGATTCTATCTTCAACATATAAATTAGAATTCAGTCCATTCCAGGACACCTGGGTGGCTCAGTGGTTGAGCATCTGCCTTTGGCTCAGGGCATGATCCTCGGATCTGAGATCGAGCCCCACGTCGGGCTCCTTGCAAGGGAGTCAGCTTCTCCCTCTGCGTATGTCTCTGTCTGTGTCTCTCATGAATGGATAAATAAAATCTTTTTTTATTTTTTAAAAGATTTTATTTATTTATTCATGAGAGAGAGAGAGAGAGGCAGAGACAGGGGCAGAGGGAGAAGCAGGCTCCATGCTGGGAGACTGATGTGGGACTCGATCTGGGGTCTCCAGGATCATGCCCTGGGCTAAAGGCGGAGCTAAACTGCTGAGCCACTGGGCTGCCCTAAAATCTTTTTTTAAAAACAGAATTCAGTCCATTCCTTTTTTATTTAAAGATTTATTGATTTATTTGAGAGAGAACGGACATGCATGCATGTGAGTGGGTGGGGGGGGGGAGAGGGAGAGAATCTCCAGCAGACTCCACGCTTAGCACAGAGCCCAACCAAGGGTTCAATCCCATGACTCTGAGATCACAACCTGAGTCGGAATCAAGAGGCAGATGCTCAACTGCATGAGCCACCCAGGTGCCCCAAATTCATTCTTTTCTCATTACTTTCGCTACCACTCTGATCCAAGCCACCCTCACTTCTGGCTGGGATTATTCCAATAATCTAATTGGACTTGCTGCTTCTATACTTTCTTGCCCCACTGTCACTGCCATTACCACCACCACCACTACCCAAAACAGTCCATTCTCAACATAGAAAGAGGGATTCATTCCATAATAGAAACAGACTACTTTTCTCCTCTGCTCAGAATCCTTCAGTGGCAGCCCATTTCCCTTAGAGTAAAAGCCAGAGTCCTTCAATGGTCTATAAATGTCTACAAAGCCAGAGTCCTACAATGGCCTCCCACACATATCCTTGTTGCTTCTTTTCTTCTACTCTTCCCCTTGTTCACTTTGCTCACCCTATTCTGCCTATTCATACTGGCATCTTTATACTATTTCTGGAATATGTTAGAAGCAGTCTGCCATAAGGCAGTGGCTGTTCCTCTGCCCAGAAGATTCTTGCCTATAATATTGCCTATAATATCCATCTAACTAATTCCCTTACCTCCGTGAGGCTTTGTGGTTGCCATCTTCCCAATGAGTCTTCTCTGTCCACCTTACTGAGAATTAGAATCACCTTTCCTTTTCCCTTTATTCTGTTCTCTCCTACCCCCAGTTTCTCCTTAGCACTTCCCATCTTTCAACACACTATGTAATTTGCTTTTTTATGTTTTTTTTTAAATTTTTTTTTTATTTTTACTGTCTCCTCTTGCTAGAATCTAAAATATAAGAGGGAAGAAATAATTCTCACATTTAGTGAAGAAGCACAATTAAGAATAGTGCCTGAGAAATGTAGGCACTTGCTAACCAAGTGTTGAATGAATGATTATAATTTGGAAATGGTGGTTACCAGTTCTGGGTTAAATTGTGCCCCCCTTAGAAGGATATGTTGAAATCTTAACTCCCAGTATCTCACAATGTGATCTTTTTTGGAATTAGGGTTTTTACAGAGGTCATCAAGTTTAAAAAAGATCATTGAGGGTGGGTTGTAATCCAGTATAACTCGTGTCCTTGTAGAAGGGGGAAATTTGGACACAAAGACAGACACAATGCGGTGATGAAGGCGGAGATTAGGGTGACACAGGTACAAGCCAAGAAAGGCCAAAGTTTGCTAGCAAATCACCAGAAGCGAGGGAAGAGGCATGGGACAGGTTCTCCCTCACAGACCTCCCTCAGAAGGAAACCACTCTCCCTACTGACTTCAGACTTCTAGCCTCCAGACTATGAGACAATAAATTTGTTTAAAAATTTTAAGCTTAGAGCACTTTGTCATGTCAGCTCTATAAAACTAATATAGTTGGTCTCTAGATATGTAGGTAGATGTGAGATCTGGAAACTTGCTTAGATCCGCAGGTGCCTATAAACTGTAAAGCAACATATAAACAAGGTATAATAATTAAACAAGAATATGTCCTTTAGGGTTAACTGTGTCTGTCCAAGGACTTAGGGGTTGCTGAATTCTACCTCACTTCTCTTTTCTCCATCCTACCCATATCCCTTACCATCGCCACCACACAGAAACATCTGCTTTAAGTCACAGGGGAATTCCTAGGTTATATTTCCTGTGAAGATTTCAGCTGGGCAGCATTCAGCAACTCTTGAAGATAGTTCTCCAAGCTTGAACTAACTGGACCTTCTGTCTAATCAACTCATCTGCTTTCTGGAAGATTGGGGACCTCTCTGATACAGAGTTTTCTGTTTGAAGGGATTCTGAAACGGACGAACTAGGTCACTCATCTCTTGAGGACTCGTCTTCCCCACCCTAACCAAGAGAACTGGGAAGAGAGGTGGGTGGTTTCCTTCAGGACGCCCTGTGATCATTTTGGCCCAGCAGGGGCAGTAATGGCATTAGAAGGGGGAGGCTTCTGACTTTTGGTGAGGAAATGCTTGTAGTGGGATTAGGGGTCTTCCACTGGCTCTCTGTATTTAAGACTGAGGTTCCTTCTACTTTATTGCTTAAGGTTTTGTAAGGTGATTTTAACTGCCACTGGGCCATTTGGCTTCAGCATTCCTAATAGCCTGAAAGGTCATAGGCACCAAGAAGGAAGGGTGTCCCAGTAGATAGGCAGAAAATGGAGACAGGGAATTAAACACTGGGCTAGAAAAGATACGACATTGGGGAGCGTCAGCCACCAAGAGCAGTGGGCAGAGTAAGGTCCCGGACCTGCAAGAAAAGGTCAGAAAGAAGGGAGTCAGGGCGCCTGGGTGGTTCAGTGGGTTAAACATCTGCCTTTGACTCAGGTCATGATTCCCGGGTCCTGGGATCGAGCCCCACAATGGGCTCCTTGCTCAGTGGGGAGCCCGCTTCTCCCTCTGTCTGCCACCCCCCTTGCTTGTGCTCACTTTCTCTCTGTCAAATAAATAAATAAATAAATAAAATCTGGAAGGAAGGAAGGAAGGAAGGAAGGAAGGAAGGAAGGAAGGAAGGAAGGAGCCAATTCTTGCTCACTGAATAGGATACACTTGGTGTCAAGAAAAAAGCCAAGATCGGGGATGGAACTGTAGGTCAAGGTCAGAGAGATTCTGGCAGTGACAGTGACTTAGGGGTGAACTCACAAACTCTATTACATTTGGTTCTGAACAGGATTTGTAGCAGGGCCAATCATTTATTCAGCCCATGTGATATGTTGCAACTTGTTCTAGGCACCTGTGATTCAGAGATGACAGCCATTGTTCTCAAGGAGTTAAGAGTTTGATAGGACAGAAATGAAAGATAAATGAATGACAATTTTGTGTATTAAATACAGTAAGGGTCTAATATCATACAATGTCACAGTAGCTAAGAACTCAGGCTCTCGGTCCAACAGGTTTGAGTTGAAATCCTAACTCTTCAGTTAGAGGTTGTGTTATCCTGAACAAGTCACTAAGCTTCTGCAAACTTCAGTGTCCTTTCTTGTAAATGGTAATAATAATAGTACTACTTACCTACTTCATTTTTTAAAAACATTTTTATTTATTCATTCTTGAGAGACACAGAAAAAGAGGCAGAGACACAGGCAGAGGGAGAAGCAGGCTCCCCATGGTGAGCCTGATGCGGGACTCAATCCCAGGACCCTGAGATCACGACCTGAGCCAAAGGCTGTTGCTCAACCACTGAGCCACCCAGGCATCCCTACTTTATAAGATTTTCGTAAGGATCAAATTAGACCATTTATGCCTGGCACCAAGATAATTCTCAATAACATTGGCTATTATTTATAATAATAGTATAATTATCTGGGAGAAGGTATTGTCAGGAAATATTTCCAGGAAAACGTGGCATTTAAGCTGAATATTGAAAAATAAAGAGAAGGTGACTGGGCCTGGGATTGGGAGGACGCTAATGAATTGCTTTTATTTTTTAATTATGTCCTGCCAGATTCCTCAAATAATTTGAGATAGGATGATGAATTCAATGTTAATAGAACAGAATATGAGCTGTCTCTGAGCAACATTAGATATTTTGACCTCTTCAGTCTAACCCTACTATAATCCCATGTCTTATGTTTGCCCCAGTAATTATTGTAGCTCCATGAAATGAATACAATTATTAATCTCCTTTCTTCTTCATTTTGAATACTAACAAACAGAAATAACACAAAATAAAATTGATGTAGTTAAAATTGTACCTAGTAAATTTGTTTTGATTGTAAAAATGACTTTTACCTCTTCTTAACCCAGAAAAACTGGTCTTGATAGGAGGGGAAAAAAGGCCACGAAAGAAAACTTAACTTTGGGTGAAATTATAATAGATAATTGGGCATGGGCAAGAATAAAATAAAACTGATTAATAGATCACATTTTGTTGTGAATGTATAAGATAATCTGAATTAATTTGAAACAAAGGAATTTCAATAAAATAAAAATTTAAATAAAGCTTAGTGGCATTCTATAGAAAATTGATACCAAAATTAAAAGGTCATAATCAATTTTACTCCAAAAGATACTTTTTTGGTTAAAAAGCCTTCCATACTTATGTAATTCTTATGAACATATTTGCATTCATAAATATAGAATCAAACCAAACCATTCATGGGTACAAAATAGTGTGTCAAAATCTCCAGTACTTGCCTGTGACATCTGGATGGGTGGATTGATGAAGCAGTGGGTACTCTCATCTAGAGCTCAAGAAGTCACGGTATAACTGACTTTGAAAGGCTTTGAATCATCACCACCTAAGTATTCACCTGTTTTCTTTTGTATCTTCCATAAAATAATAATGCAGAGTCAGAGCCTACTAAATGCCTATTGAATCTTAGATTTTCTCTAGTCAGGCCTTTAGCATTACAGGTAGTGGAATTGTACCTGTAGAGTCAATCGGTTTAATTCAGCACTTACTGAATATTTTGCAAAAATGAGCTCTCCTGGATTTGAGAGTAATGAGAGCAAAACTGAGGTACACCAAGATGTGGATGCCTAGAATATAATAAAAAACCTTACCAAAAATTATACTATTTACATCCAGTACATCAGATGAAGTATTTTTATCCACATGTTCTTTATTCACCAAATGTTTCCTCTTCTTTTAAAAGTTGTTTTCTTTCTTTTTAAATTTGCTTCTATAGATATCCTCAGTCTCCACTTGACAAGGTCATGGAAGATCTAGAGGAAAGATTATTTGAAGAGTTCGAAAACTATTCCTATACTCTGGAATATTACTCCTCAGAGTCTGATTTGGAGGAGAAAGGCCACGTGGGAGCAGTTCATTGGGTCTCCCTGGTGTTATACTGTTTAGCATTTATTCTGGGCATTCCAGGAAATGCCATTGTCATTTGGTTCACGGGGTTCAAGTGGAAGAAGACGGTCACCACTCTCTGGTTCCTCAATCTGGCTGTTGCAGATTTCATTTTTCTTCTCTTCCTACCTCTATACATCTCCTATGTGGCCATGAATTTCCACTGGCCCTTTGGCATCTGGCTGTGCAAGGCGAATTCCTTTATTGCCCAGTTGAACATGTTTGCTAGTGTGTTTTTCCTTACAGTGATCAGCCTGGACCGCTATATCCACTTGATCCATCCTGTCGTATCTCATCGACACCGAACCCTGAAGAACTCCCTGATTGTTATTATATTCATTTGGTTTTTGGCCTCTCTAATGGGTGGTCCTGCTCTATACTTCCGGGACACTCTGGAGTTCAATAACCACACTCTTTGTTATAACAATTTCCATGAGCATGATCCTGACCTTACCTTGATGAGGCACCATGTTCTGACCTGGGTGAAATTTATTGTTGGGTACCTCTTCCCCTTGCTAGCAATGAGCATTTGCTACTTGTGTCTCATCTTCAAGGTGAGGAAGCGAAGCATTCTCGTCTCCAGTAAGCATTTCTGGACCATCCTAGCTGTGGTCATGGCCTTTTTGATTTGCTGGACTCCTTATCACCTGTTCAGCATTTGGGAGCTCACAATCCACCACAATAGCCATTTCCACCAGGTGCTTCAGGCCGGCATCCCCCTCTCCACTGGCCTGGCATTCCTCAATAGTTGTTTGAACCCCATCCTTTATGTCCTAATTAGTAAGAAGTTCCAAACTCGCTTCCGGGCCTCAGTTGCTGAAATACTAAAGCACACACTGTGGGAGGTCAGCTGTTCTGGCACAGTGAGTGAACAGCTCAGGAACTCTGAGACCAAGAACCTGTGTCTCCTGGAAACAGCTCAGTGAATTATTATTCTTCCACAAATCAGTATAAGGTTTTTGTGTGGGTTCCCTGACAAATGCTTTCAGGTTATTTGGTTCCAAGGGACAGTACCAACAATCTCTGTTTGTTAATCAGTTTAGTGACATTACATATTTGTGTGGGTATAGAACTTAGGAAAGATCTTCATTTGTTCGCCTGCAAATTATCTATCACTCTTGCTAATTATACCATTGTGGATTAGTCACTACTGTTGACGCAATATCAGCTATTATTTTTTTAATCTTAATGACTTTGAAGTCCTAAATCTTAATGCTAAATATGATTAATTCATTTCAAAAATGTTAACATACGTGCCAAAGCTCACTTTAATTTTGCACTAGTAACCTATTAGATATATTTTTAAAATGCAACATGTACTTAATTTCTTTATTTCATGAAATCTATGTATATACATTTATAAATTAAAGTAATAGTTGGTTATGGTAGTTTAAAACATTGTGAACTATTAATGAACTATTAATGCTTAAAGAAGTGTCCCAGAATCTAGTTCCTTAGAATGACAATGCATTATTATAATATTTCACAATTCTGAGTCAGAAATTCAAACAAGGCACAGAAGGGAGGTTCATCTCTCTGCTTCATAAGGTCTGAAGCATCAGCTGGACAAACGGCTTGGGTTTTGAAACAGCTTGTCTCCTCTGCCTTACTATCCCTTCTCTTTTTTTTCTTCACACAGCTCTTCCAGTATGGCAGCTCAGGGTAGCCAGACTTCTTATATGGCAGTTTAAGTCTCTAGGAGACCAAAGTGGACATTTTTAGTACTCTTAAGGCCTATGCCTGCCCCTGACACAGTATAACATCCACTGTACTCTCTTGGTCAAAGCGGTCACAGGCCAGCTCAGGTTCAAGGGGAGGTGATGTAGACCCCACCAATGGAGCCAATGGAGATATGCTCCTATCTTTAATCCTTCATGATATCATTATAAATACTGTTTTTGGAAAATTCTGGGTACGTGCAAGTATGTTTAAGATTGCTGTAAACATAAAACACTGACATCTAGATAGTAGATAGGCCAGCCCAATCTCAGAATGATTTCAGGAAAAGAAAGCATGTATGGCATTGATATATTTCTATCTTCTATTCCTGTAACTATATTGATGTAGACACCAGTACAAGACCAATAAAGTATACTTTTAAGTCAGTAACCTCTTCATAGTGCAAGTCTGTTGCATTTTAGACTGTAATGGTATTTTGATCTCTATTCATTTATTCCTTTTTTTTTTTTAAGATTTTATTTATTTATTCATGAGAGACACAGAGAGAGAGAGAGAGAGAGAGAGAGAGGCAGAGACACAGGCAGAGGGAGAAGTAGGCTCCATGCAGGGAGCCCGACATGGGACTCAATCCCGGGCTGAAGGTGGCGCTAAGCCGCTGAGCCACCCGGGCTACCCATATTCATTTATTCCTTTAGCAAACAGACGAGTGTCTAAGGGGTATACAGATGCATATGGCACTTAATGGTTTAGAAAGTCTAGAGATTAAACCTGCATAAAAACAATGCTAAAATGAGATGGACAGTAGTCAGTGCCATAAGAAAGCCAAGGAAAGTGTAGATTGTTCAGAGAGAAGAGATAACCCCCGGTACAGAAGGGAAGAAACATTGGGGTTTCTTGCTTTTGGGGTTTCCTAAAATCCTGTTCCTATCCCTGGTCTCTGCTGGTACCTTTATCTTTTATGACTACAGACTCTGCTACTCACTGTAATTTTAAAAAACATTTAATTTTCCATAATTCGTTGATTTTAACTTTGAAAGTTGGGAGGGGAGCTGTGTTATTTCTTGAGTCAGTATCCTTTTTTATTTCATCTTTCAGCTTTTGGAAATGCTAATCTTGGATCACTTATTGTCTATGTTCTTTACTGGTAGCCCATGCAAAAATCAGATCTAGTTTTAGAAGTTATTCCCCCCAAATATGTGGCATAACACAGCATATCCCAAACTTCTGTCATTCCCAAATTTCTTGATTTGTGCCATACCAGTATGGAGGGAATTCATGAAGAGAAAGGCTCATTGTGAGTGTCTGTCCCCTCTAACATTGGGGTTTCAGATATTCCACTCTGGGTTCCTTGTCACCTTCAAGGGACAAGCCCTGATTTCCCAGGATCAGGAGAAAAGCTGGAGGATTGAAGACAAAGAGAATTCCTCAGGCTCATCCTTAGTTTCAGCAAATGGAGAGATTGTCAAGGCTGTGGGAGAAAGTGGAAGGCTGAGGAGCAGGAAGGGGATTAAGCAACCAAGGGCAGAAGAAAACGATGGAGGAGGTGGTGTTACCACCTAGTAAGCAGGAGCTTACCAAGGGCCTATGAAAATATTTGAGATCTTTAAAAAAATATGATTGGCTCTAGAATAAAAAAAGGGAAACTTTAAAAGTCAAAATTAATAAGTACTTCATTACACATCTGTAAAATATACCTTTATGTCAATTAGTCAAATGAAATATTACATAATTATATAAAAACTTATATTTAAGATGGGCTTTCTGTATGTATTAATGTTTGATATGAGGAGTGGAATCTCCAAAAAAAATGCTTTACAGAAGGTTTACAAAGGTCTTAGAGAACTTGAATTCATTTGAGAATCTAAGGAAAGTTACAAGTCCTTTCCCTACAAATATGTTTTTTTTAAAAGCAGTTTCTATGCCCAAAAGTGGAGCTCAAACTCACAACCCCAAGATCAAGACGTGAGTTGCATGTGATGCGGCTCCTCTAGAAACATGCTTTTTTTTTTTTTTTAAACATGCTTTAAATAAAATATCAGAGAGTCCTTAGACCTTGGGCTAAAAACCCTAGTTTCAGTGGTTTTTAAAATAGTTGATGGGGGGATGTAACAAATCTGCTACTGAAAAGTAGCAACCAGTACAAGTACTTATGGGCAGAGACAGGAGTTCATGTTTAATTCTCAGTTTGAGGGAAGATCCAAAGAGTAGCATTGGACCTAGGACTGGGGACTCTAAGTCTCCTCCCTTGGCAGTTGGAATCTGGTGATTGGGGCAGTTGGGGCTTTCCAGGGGTCTTATGATTAAGAGCAGGATGAATGAGTATAAGGACAGAGGCTACAGGACAGGACAGGCATTGGAACAATTAGGAAAGGAAGTGAGGGAGCTCAGTGCCTGGCTGGCAGGAGAGCAAAGAATCCCAGACTCTCAGGGACTGGGGCACAGACATAAGATAGACCTGCATCTTCAGTGGAAAGCGGCTCTTTAAAGAGGGCAAGTTCCAGATGTTGGATGTGTCAGGACATCTGAGTTTGAATTAAGGCTCCAACACATCATAGGGCTCTGCCATTTGCTAAATTGGGCAACCCGGGTCGCTCAGCGGCTTAGCGCTACCTTCAGCCCAGGGCCTGATCCTGGAAAACCGGGATTGAGTCCGGGTCGGGCTCCTTGCATGGAGCCTGCGTCTCCCTCTCTCTGTCTCTGTCTCCCCGTGTCTCTAATATATAAATAAAATCTTAAAAAAAACAACAACACAGGGCTCTGCCATTGGCTAAATAAATTCAATTTTCTAGACCTGTCTCTCCCATTTGCAAGGATAAGAATAGTAGGACCTGCTACATGGGGCTGTTGTAGTAGAAATTAAATGAGGCGATGTGGTAAAGCACTTAGAGGAGTACTTAGCTCTCGAAATAACTTGATCAATATTAGCTGGTATTCATCCGTGAAATTGTTGGCATCTTCTGACCTAGTAAATGTTAAATCCTCTCCTCTTGGATGAACGCAAAATTTCATAGGAACAATAAGAGAGCTACACAGAGAACTTTAAAACGAGATAGTCGGGCAGCCTGGGTGGCTCAGTGGTTTGGTGCCACCTTCAGCCCAGGACGTGATCCTGGAGACCCGGGATCGAGTCCCACATCGGGGTCCCTGCATGGAGCCTGCTTCTCCCTCTGCCTGTGTCTCTGTTTCTCTCTATATATATATTTCTCATGAATAAATAAATAAAATCTTAAAAGAAAAAAAAAAAAGGATGCCTGGGTGGCTCAGCGGTTAAGTGCCTTTGTTCCAGGGTGTGATCCTGGAGACCTGGGATCATGTCCCACATCAGGCTCCCTACATGGAGCCTGCTTCTCTCTCTGCTTGTGTCTCTGCCTCTCTGTCTCTGTAAGTGCTATCCAAGAATATGTGCCTGGAGGTTGCAAAGGGCAAGAAGCAGAATAAAAGATTTCTTGGAAGATGCATCTCGAAGAATGACTACAATTTAACAAGTGCAGATGAGGAAATAAGGGCAAATGTACAAACACAGATTATGAACAGAAATGTAAAAAAAAAAAAAAGAAAAAGAAAGGTCCCATTTTCTAGGATGGAGTGAGGATAGAAGATTCAGAAGTTGGTGTCTGGCTTGAATAGTAATCCCTAGTTTTTCAGTATTCTTACATATAACAGTTCTTTTGGGAATGAATTTAAGAAGTCCATGAACATTTTCCTTTGGTTTTTACTTTATTAAAAGCTATGCAGGCCAATGGCATTCTGAACAACAGATGCTCATTTGGGGCATTTCTTAAATGCAACTATTATCATCTATACAGGGCATGTAATGAATGTGTTTATCTGTCTCAATTTCCATTTTAAATTTACCCTTAGGTGACTCTATCTTCTCACTCTCATTAATTGAGGGTATGAAGCAAGGGTTACACCGATGAAATAGGATTAAATCGTCTAAAAGCACGGATGAAGAAGTTTCTTCATTCAATTGCCAACACATTACCTGGCCAAGGACGTGGGTTTCAGTTCCTCTCTCACTAGGTGAATCATTGGGCAAGTCATCTTTCAGAGTTTAGATTCCTCATCTATAAATGGTGATAACAGTGTCTGCTTTATTTATCTCATAGCTTATAACGGGGTTCGAAATGGACAGTGTGGGGGTACCTGGGTGGCTCAGTGTTTGAGCGTCTGCCTTTGGCTCAGGTCATGATCCCGGGGTCCCGGGACTGAGTTCCGCATCGGGCTCCCCACAGGGAGCCTGCTTCTCCCTCTGCCTATGTCTCTGCCCCTCTCTCTGTGTGTCTCACGAATAAATAAATGAAATCTTAACAACAACAAAAGGACTGTGTATGAGGCATGTATTTTTTTTTTCTTCTAAGGACAATAATTGCCATTGCCAAATTGTACTTGTTTGGGTGAAAAAAAATACACATAGATCCCAAAACATGAATGCAACTCCTTTTGTATTTGTCGTTGTCCATAAGCTTATCTTTTCATAATAGGGAAAAAACTCCAACATGTCTCAATATTGCTAGAGTCTGTCACTTTTTAATTATATTGTTTATAAAATATTTCATGGAGTACATATGCCATAATTTAGCAGTTTCCATTCATGTTAGGATTCTAACAGTCCTTTTATTTGATGCTTCCATCCACACCACCTCCAGGTCAGAGCTGTCTGCCTTTGTCATTCTCTGGCTCTGAAACCTTCAAGGCTGTCCTCCACCTCCCACACTGCCCTCACAAAAGGAGCCGGCCTGGGTGTGCAACCTGGCCCCACCCTATCCTAAGCCAAACAGACACTGCAAAATCCAGCCCAATACATCTAATTGCCTCATAAATGTCTCTTTGTCTATTCTTATTCCTGCCTTTTTAATCCCCTCCTGAAATAGTTTTTTTTTTTTTTATTTAAACAAATCACTGATCGAGGTCCATCCAGCTCAATTCCCAGCTTCTCCAAAAAATTTTTTCTTTAATTCTAGCCTTCCCTAACGCTCTGTACTTTTGGATTACTTGCTTAATCACAAAATGACTAATTTTTAACAATTTTATGTGTGTTTGAGCCACCACCCTATTGTAATTTTCTTGACTCTTCTTTTGTATTTTTATAGCATCTAACATAGTGACACTGAATGAATCATTTTTAATTCCCACACTGTTCCCAGCCTTGTGTTATGGATGCCAAATATGAAAAATAACTGCAGTCTGAGGCGCACTGTAATCACTTATGAGGCATACAAAAAAAAGGTGGCCTTTTATCTTTTCTTAATACTCCAAAGCCCGACACAAACCAGAAAATCTTTCTCTATGTCTACCTAGGCTTTCTGAGCCCATTGGTTCGAAAACAAGTTATTCAGTATACATGCAAATGTGAGCATTGCTTAGAACAGAAAACCAAAAGGCAATCTGAAGCTCCAATAAATAGAATGGTTAAATAAGATATGAGATAATGGATTATGTAATTGTTAGAAAACGAGAACGCTTTATAAGTACTGACATGGAATACTCAAGATATAATTTCTAAGACATCCAAATCTGTTTTCATGGACAAAATAAAAGGTACAAAACAGTTTTCATTGTATGCTACAATTACTCCATCCATGATCTCACACTAGTTGGGAAAGACCTAAGAATCTGTTGACGTTGGTTGCTTTTATGTAGGGAAACAGGAGGCCTGGGGTAGGGAGGGCAGAGACTTCACTGTTTAACTTCTTGCTTTGAACTGTGTTACTGTATTATCTATTTTTTTAATATAAAATTAAAAGGTATCACTAAATATATTTATGTGAGGCTGTGGGGTCAAGATTTTTAGTCACATGCTTCATTTATCATTTTAAGATTTACAAGACAGCTGTGGTTTGAAACGTCCACTCTAAATTTTTTAACTCCTTTTACTTTTATCCGTATTTTTAATCATTAGTTTTTATCATTTTGTTAATACTTCTTCCAGCTATTTAGTGCCCAATCCCTTTAACATGATGATTGTGTATGATTTGGGGCTACTATTCCCTGGTTGCTACCTTTCGATCTTTTCATGGCCATTTCCAGAATCCTTAGGCTCTGGTTCTACAGAAAGTGAAGTGCTGCCCTCTGCTGGCTCACATGACACTGACAACTGGAAATTTTCTCATGACGTTGGAAACACTGCTTAGTGAAGATGAACGTTGTCATCGGTACCTACTATAGGTACCTACCTATTTCTTCCTTCAAAATCGGTGTACTGATTACATATATTTCTTTAGAATCTAAACAATTCCCCATATTTAGGGTTGTCTCCCAAATAAAGAAAATCAGATTGAGAGGAAAAGAATAGCACTGTCTGGTTTGGCTAGGAAAAATCTGATCTCAAATCATTTAATCTCTGGTCTACAGATTAATCTGAGAACACAAAATAAGACTTTTAGAAGTCATTAATTCCCGAGGTGCCTGAGTGGCTCAATGAGTTAAGCCTCCAACCTTCATTTTGGCTTAGATCTTGATCTAGGGTCTTGAGTTCAAGACTTTAATTGCATTCCACACTTTGGTGTGGAGACTACTTAAAAACAAAAGCTGCCTTCACCTACTTACCTGTAACACTCCTTTTTTATTGAAGACCCTTTACTCCAGTAGGTTCTGATATCCAAATACAAGTAAAATGTTCCACTTAGTCCTCACCTCCACACAAGCCAGGCTTATAAACCACAGCTTTGGAATCAATTACCTGTACAACCTCCTTCCCATGACACAGTGCTACTGAAAAATCATTATCAAAAACACAAAACAAGCTATCAGGGCACCTGAGTGGCTCAATTGGTTAAGCAAATGCCTTTGGCTCAGTCATTACAGGGTCCTGGGATCAAGGCCCATGGGGGACTCCTTGCTCAATGGGGAGTCTGTTTCTCCCTCTGCCCCTCCCCACTGCCTGTGCTCTCAAAAAAATTTAGGGGTGCCTCGGGGCACCTGGCTGGCTAGTTGAGCATCTTCCTTTGGCTAAGGTTGTGATCCCAGGGTTCTGGAATCAAATCCTACATCAGGCTCCCCATAGGGAGCCTGCTTCTCCCTCCGCCTGTCTCTGCCTATCATGAATAAATAAAATCTTAAAAAAACTAGGGGCACCTGGATGGCTCAGTTAAGCATCTGCCTTTGGCTCAGTGACGATCCTGGAGTCCTGGGATGGAGCCCCACAACATGCTCCCTACTCAGCAGGGTCTGCTTCTCCCTCAGCCGCTCCCCCTGCTTACGTGTGTTTTTTTTTAAAGATTTTTATTTATTCTTGAGAGACACATAGAGAGGCAGAGACATAGGCAGAGGGGGAAGCAGGCTCCATGCAGGGAACCTGATATGGGACTTGATCCTGGGACTCCAGGATTACGCCCTGTGGGGTGAAGGCAGGCACTTAACCACTGAGCCACCCAAGCATCCCTGCTTGTGCTTCTTCATCAAATAAAACCTTTAGAAAAAAAAAAAATTGGGAGATACCTGGGTGGCTCAGTCAGTTGGGCATCTGCCTTTGGCTCAGGTCATGATCCTAGAGTCCTGGGATCAGGCCCATCATTGGGCTTTCTGCTCAGTGGTTAGCCTCTTCCTCCTGCTTGTGCTCTCAGATAAAAAATCTTAAAACATTTCTCCCTTTACAGTAAAGGAGTTTACAGTAAACAAGGCATGATGTTTAATTTTCAAAATTTGCCTTGACAAATGGTTAATTTTTAACAAACTTTGGGAATCCTTCCTTTACTTCCCTCCTTTGGGCTTTGGTGTCCCTTAGTGAGGTCACACACCCCATTCCATACCGTATTGCTCTCAAGTAGGATTTTTATTTTTTTAGACTTTTATTCATGAGAGACAGAGAGGCAGAGGGAAAAGCAGGCTCCATGAAGGGATCCCCACGCGGGACTCCATCCTGGGTCTCCAGGATTACAACCTGGGCTGAAGACGGCGCTAACCCGCTGAGCCACCCGGGCTGCCTTCAGGTAGGATTTTTAATTGTGTGGTTTTTCAGTATGGAGAAACACTCAACTTGAAGATCCTAGAGAACTACAAATTACTTCAGTCATTGGGCCATCTAACTATTTCCAGCCAACGAAGGACATTCACTGTGGCCAGTAGTGTCTTACACATTTTACATGTATAGACCCATTTTTCATCATTAAGGTACTCCCTAATATTCCCATCAGGGAAAACCAGCCCAGGTTATTACTCCTTGCAAAAAGCCCAAGGTCTGAACCATTGCAAACCTACAGGACTAAAAATCTAGTTGAAATTCTGAATCCACAGTTTCTACAAGTGAAGTTTATCTAATTTCTATTTAAAACAAATATGAGGGCAGCCCGGGTGGCTCAGCAGTTTAGCGCCGCTTTCAGCTCAGGGTGTGATCCTGGGGACCCAGGATGGAGCCTGCTTCTCCCTCTGCCTGTGTCTCTCATGAATAAATAAAATCTTAAAAAAATAAAATAAAACCAATGGGATATTTGCAATACTATGGTAAAAGCAATATTCCTGTACACTGGGCAGCCCCGGTGGCACAGTGGTTTAGTGCTGCCTACAGCCCAGGGCGTGATCCTGGAGACCCTGGATCGAGTTCCCACGTCAGGCTCTCTGCATGGTGCCTGCTTCTCCCTCTGCCTGTGTCTCTGCATCTCTATGAATAAAAAAATCTTAAAAAAAAAATTCCTGTACACTGACAGCAGAAAACATACGAAGATTGAGTCCATTTCTATTTATCCATTCATAAAATCTCAACAACTATCTGAATTCATAGTATTTAGAAAGATATTTGTCCTCCCTTTTGGGCTAAATACAAAAATGCTAACCCAAATTTATATTTTCTGTGAATTATATATCCATTGAATTTCTTCCTTCAAAATGGAATATAAAAACTACCCTATGTAAGAGTCAAGAGCCAAGGGTTGTCTTTTAAGCTTTTATTTAAGGACAATGATCTACGATGTAATTTTAGATCTTATTAAAAGCAGCCACGTCCATGGACTGCACATAGTCCTCAAAGGCAGTGATCCGCTCCTCCAGCATATCTGTTCCAACTTTATCATCTTCCACTACACACTGTATTTGAAGTTTTTTAATTCCATATCCCACTGGAACTAGTTTAGCTGAAAAGAACGTTAAGAAAAATCTTAGTTAGCAAAGCCCTATTGATTGGCAAACATTTTAACTGTGCAACTTCCAGATGTCACTTTCAAAAAGCAAAGATTGAACTCACAAGAGCCCCAGACCAAGCCATCTGCCTGAATGCTTCGGACACACTCCTCTAATTTTGCCATATCCGTCTCATCGTCCCAAGGTTTCACATCTAGTAATATGGAAGACTTGGCAACAAGTGCAGGTTCTTAAAAAAAAAAAAGGTAAAAAGGTACAACCAACATTATTCAGACACCCAGTGATGTTTTTCACTTTAGTTGAAGACACCCTTAAAATCTTAATGTTTCTTAATGGATCATCCCAAACAAAACTACAGAATACAACTTATGTTTGTTACTCATATGCCCACTTTCCACTGTGCTAAGAAAGAGGTGTTTAATTACATAACAGTTTCTTTCCCACAGAGGAATGCCACAACTGCTACTGTAAGAACAGCTGCAGACCAGTAGCTGTGGAAGTTTTGAAAAACTACGTATATACAGATTTTTAAATACTGAACTAGTCAACGACGTGGAGGCAATTACTTTGGGAATCAAGCTTCAAAAGATTACTCAATTATGAAATGAAATTAAAGCAGCACAAATTTTTAAAAAATGACCTACTTTTGGCTTTCTTTGACTCATACTGTGCAAGGCGTTCCTCTCTTAGCCTCTTTGCTTCTTCACTTTCCTATAAAGAAAAATAGAGTATGTTTCACAAAGACAGTTGTTCCTCAGCTTTAAGCTAGTGAATCTATCACAACAAAGACCAGTTTTCTCAGAAAAAGCAAATCCATCAGGAGCTCAGCCGAAAGATGGTGATTTGATTTTATTCATCATATAACCAGTGAGGATTTTTATAAGTCAAGTAATGAAGTGGGTGAAACCAGAATTCAAATCCAGGAAATTTCACCACAGAGCCTATGATTAAGCTCATCGATCTACACACCAACTTATGCCATACCTCCTCATCATCAGATCCGAAGAGATCAATATCATCATCGTCTTTACTATCTGTAGCTCCACTTCCTGTGGTGTCTTCCACATTAGCAGGGCCATACTTGCCCAAAGCTTTCTTCACTCCTGGAAGGCTTGGGAAAAAAAACAAAACTTAAGTTCAACCACCACTACGCTGGTAAACTCTCAGTACACGAGAACTTGTTTCCGTCACTATCCAAAGAGCCCTTAGGTACTAAGAATTTGCCCGTAAACTCTCCCAGGTAAATACTGTTGTGCGTTTAAGTCCTCACCCAACAAACATTAGCAGTATGTGAGACATTACGTTCGATACTCACTATGATTTACTCTTTCAGTATGAGTATTTCTGTTTGAGATTAAGTATGCTCAGTTCCATTCTTAGTGAACTGGAGTCCACTTCCCCAAACTTCCACCCTTGTTGGCAGTTTCAGAAGAATGGCCAAGGACTGAATCAATGAGCCACCCCTCTCACCCCGGACGCGGGCCCCCCAGGTCAGGGTCCAGGCACAGTGTCAGGGCAGTGTGGGGAAAAGTTGAATTGCTGTGGTCCGGGTTCTACGTGTTCTGTGAAAAAATGCAGGACTTCAGTCTCTCGTCCTTCTCAAGTCCCAGAGCTAGTTCAGCTTACATCACCCCAATAAAACTCACGTAGCCTGGGTCTAATTTTGTCACGTGAAAGATCCTGACCTGAAGCTTAGGAAGCCTCCTATCCTTCAGGTAAACACACAGGTCACTTTACCTGGCCTTTTCCTTCTCGTAAGACTTGATGTGATTGTACCAACGCAGGGCATGATACAAGTCGGCAGGCGGGGGGCCGGAGACTGCTTCAAACACTGCCACGTCCGCTTGTGACGGCACGTACCTGCGGGGAGGCAAGTCACACACGCCCTGAGGGGAGGGGCTACAGCCACCTGCACGTAAATGACACACGCCACGGCCACCAAGCTGAGCGCTGGGAGCTGGCCCATTTGCCACTGGGCAACCTAAGGTGATTTATTCTCGACGCTAAACTCAAGATCGGGGGCCATGTGTTTGGTTTCCCGCCCTCTCCCGAGGAATCCCTGCCACGTCGTGGACCTCAGAGCTGGCATCTCTGACGGAGACCTACGGGCTTACGTCCACGGGCCGAGGGAAGACGCGGAAAAGGTGGCTGAATCCAGTCAACGCAAAGAAGGCGCCCTTGGAAGCCCTCGGCCCCCAGCGGCGCCCGAGGCCGCGCCACGTGGCCGGCCCAGCCCGGCTCCAGCCCGGGCCCGTCCTCACCCCTCGATGTAGCTCTTGTCCGCTAGGTAGTCGTTGAGCACCTGGAGGCCGGCGGGGCTTTTCAGGTCTCCGAAACCCATGGCGTCGGCGGCTCCAAGAACCGGGCGGCAGCGAAGGAAGAGAAGAGGGGAGGGAGGCACCCGGCACCCAGCGCTAAGAGGGGGGGAGAGGAAAAAGGGCCGCAAAAGGCCGGAAAACGCCTTATATAGAGACGGAGGCGTTTCCCTCTGCCCGCACGGGGTCAAAGGTTAAGGGTCAACGTCCTCTAATAGCCTCATTCCTCCACGTAAAACTCGGAAGCTCCGCATTGAACGGCGCACAAATTATCCAGCGGCCTTTCTTTGTGTTTAGAAATAAGCTAATAAAAAGAGTATTCCTTAAACTAGTACCTCCGCGGCTCCGGAACACTACAGGAACCGCCCCTCGAAGCGCCGGAGGTGACCGAAGACGCTCGGCCTCAGGCGCCCGACCACTTCCGGCGGAACTGCGGTTCCCAACCGTGTCTCCTGCCTCCCGCCTCCCGCCTCCGCCCCGCCCCCCCGTCCGGCTGCCGGAACTTGCCGAACTCGCGCTAAGCGGGAAATTCTCGAATCTGAGGTTCTGGTCCCTCCTGGCTTCCCGTCCTCCAGGGCCGGCGGGCGAGGTTTGCCGAGGACGCCATGTTGAATAAGCAATCGGGCCTCTGAGGGGGCTGGGAAGGTGCGGCGGTTCTGCAGAGCGGCTTTGGCGGCTCCGCCGAGAAGGTGAGGTCGTGGTTGCGGGAGAAGGCTGAGGTGCCTCTTGCCACAGGAGTTGACTTCTTGACGAGACGGTTTCTTGTAGGCCAGGCGACTCCTCCTACTCTTGTCCTTGACTGGGCGCCGCGTCCCAGCCCGCCTCCGCCGGGACCCCCGGGGCCGGCAGGTGAGCGCCGTTGGCCGCGGTCTCTGGTCTCTTGGGGCGGAAGGCAGGTGGAGAGCCTGGGGGCCCTGGGACCGCGGGCGCGGAGGCAGGCGTGGGAGTGACCTTCATTCTGCAAGGGAGACGCAGGACGTTCCCGGGAGAGGACTTCTGTCAAGTGACTTAGGCCTCAAGGCAGCGGTTTCCCGAGTTAACACACACAGTCCAGCCCCTTGGCCGCCGTTGCCTTAGCAGCCGTCCATGCGTCTGGGGATTTTTGTTGTTGTTTTTTCATTTTTGTCCATTGAGTTATTTGGGCAGTTATTTTTTTATTCCTTTCCCTGGTGGGGAAACTGAGGAAAATGGTATTTAAAAACTTTGCCCAAGGTCGCCCTGCCGATGACCTAGCTACGTTGTTCAGCCGTGTGGGGCTCTAACATGTATCGTAAGACCGTGGATTAGACCCGGCTCTGCTCCAGAATGATTGGGGAGCATTGAAAATGTGAACTGTCCCCACCGAATGGCATGGTGCAGGGTGTTATAAGGCTGTCAGAGGCCTGCGCTTTTTCAGGAAAGTGGAAATTTCTGGCAGAGATTTGAGATATAACTCATATAGCAGACAGTTATTTTACGTCTGTTATAAATTAGAAATGAGTCCACGAAGAAGAATAAAATGGATGATATGCCTGGGGAGTAGGTTAGGGAATTTAAGATGGGCTGATGAAGGAAAGTTTTGGAAAACTGTCATCTATTGGGGTAAGGCACTCTTCCGTTTGATGCTGGATTTTCAAGAGACAACCTAATTCTGGTTGATTTCATAACTAAAGTGGGCAATACCTTTTTCCTGTATTGGAGACAAAATAATAAAGTGTTTACATTGTTGTATGAAATATTGATTGTTGATTTTCAGTTTGTCATTACTCTAATTCAGCAAACTCAGATTTACCTTTATATCATCAACAGAATTTAGTAAGGCGGATGGTACTCATTTTGGAACTTGGTGGTAAGATTATTTGATGGTTATTTTTACAAGGGCTAGGTCTTCAGAAAAGGGAAATGACCAAATTGCACCATTTCTTTTCAAGGAGCTTACACTTTAGTAGGTAGTAAAATTGGTTACTAATCTATAATTTAGTAGGTGGAATGATAAAGCTATATGCACAATGTGGGCTGTACACAAAGGGGGAGTACCAAGGAAGAGGACTTTGATCTTCAGTGGCTAGTACTGTCTGAATTGAATTCAGATTTAGTTGACATTTATTGCACTCCTACTAATAACACAGCCTAGGAATTATTTTTTTTTCTTATCTATAGGTGAGGAAGCAGAAACTCTGATTTACCAAAAAAATTACTCAGTAGTGGGTGTTAGAATTCATGTGTGCAAATTCAGTATTACACGTTCTGAATTAACAAATTTTATGAATTAAGTAAAGTGAATTAATGAAGTTTTTAGTTATACCTTTTCTATAATAGGTATGTGAAACTTCATGCTTAAAAGTTAGATGTAGGTACTATCTTCTGCTCTTGATCTTTGAAAGTCATTATGTTGATAAATTATCACATTTCCATTTTTAGAAGTTTCAAGTGAAAAATTATAATTTAGTTGCTTAGCCCATTTGATCAAGTGAGTGGACAAAAAAAGTTCAGTACTTAGCCCTTATGATCAAGTGAATGTATAAAAACTCTAAATGTTCAGATAACTTTGCTTTCTGCTTATGTATATCTTTAATTGGTGTTGCATAATTCGCTCCAATTTCTTCTAGTAATTCAACAAACTTTTATTATGGGAGACCATCCTATGCTTTGTAGGATGTTTTGCAGCACCCTGGCCTCTACCCTCTAGATGCTATAGTAGCTTTCCCCTAGTTGTGACCATAGTGGGTCCCAATGTTGCCAGATGTTCCCTGGGAAACAAAACTGTCCCTGGTTTGAGAACCACTGTTTTAGAGCTTACTGTGTACCAGCCTTGGAAATAGGCACTGAAGACAAAAATATTCAAGAAGTCCATAATAGAGAGGGTAGAACAGACATATAATTGCAAATCTATAAGATAAATGTATTAAGCACAGAAAATGGCACTCCAAACATTTAAAAGGCTGGTATTTGTGAGCCAGCTCAGAATCTCAAGAGCAGTTAGTGGATAGCTGCTTAGAGCACAGAATGTTAGGATGAAATTGGTAGGAAATGAAGGCAGAAAGGTAGGTATTATTTTACATAGTATTAGTCGTAAGCTCACTGTAATTCTTAGAATTTATCTTACTATAGAGTAGTGTTTTTACATTTGATCATTTGTTGATAGTTAAAGAAAACAACACAAAACTGTCATTTACATAGATTTATATACTAGTTGCTCCTTCAT